AAATTCTGTGTTTTTCTGTCAATATGGGGTGCTGTGTGTACATTAATGAGGAAAAAAATGAACTTAAATGATTTTAGCATATGGCTGCAATATAACAAAGAGGGAAAAATTTAAGGGGGTCTGAATACTTTCCGTACCCACTGTATATATGTTTAATCTAGTGTACGGTTCAACTGACAAAACTACGGTGAGGCTCAAACTGGTTGAGGCTTGCTGCCACTAAAGAAACACATTTCCCCATTTGTGTTGTTGACTCCCAGATTGTTTTGACTACTCAAGCGATGCAGAGTTGAGCCTCACCGTCAGTCCTCCTAGCCTCGCCCAGCACCACAACCACCATACTCCCTGGGACGCAGCAGCCAAAGAGGAGAGAGGAGGGCAGGCTCACAGCCACAGCAGCAGCAGCATCATTCCCCCCACTACACTTGAGGGTAGGGGACAGGGGCGGACACTCAGAGCAGAGAGGATCTCAGGAGGAGGTGCTCCTTCAGTCTGTATCCTCCTAAACCACCTCCTCCCCTTCCTTGGCTTGAGGGGGTTAACTCTGCTGTTCCCAAATTTGGCTGCCTCTTCACTTCCCCAGAGTATACTAACTCATCCAGTCTATACCACCCTCAGCCAACAACCCCTCTACTGCCAGACTCTTGCTAGTGTTTTTTTTACATCTCATCCAAGAATGGAAGCGTCGCCTATTCTGGGTTTGAAGGAAGGGTGGCTTGTGGCCATTTTGCATGGGCCTGTCATCATGCCGTTTCCTCTGTTGTACTGTAGGTCGCTGCCCTTGTCACTCACTGAGCATGCGCACTGCCCAGCCTGCAGCTTGACCTTTTTCTCTTTCTCAATTCTCTTGTTTCTGTATTGCCCCTCTGTGTTTGACAGCAACGTGAGTTTTGGTGCATCCATCTGCTGCTGCCATTATGTAGAAAGAAGCCTTCATTTTGTTTTTTTATCCCAACAGCTAATTTTGTGAGCTGCCATCTTACATTTTGTTTTCATAGCTCGGTGAGTAGGAATGAGCCCTTGGTCATGCATGGGCGCGCTACAGCGAGTTGTGATCATTTCTGCTAAAACATTTGAACACTAACACTTAAAATGAGAAGGCCACATGTACAGACTGAATATTGTCAACAAATTCTTTGGACAGCAAACACTGTTCTACTGCATGGGACCTTAGGTCTGTATGGCCCATTTTGTCTTGTTGTGTGTTCATTTCCATGTGCGGTCTTGAAACATCACTCACATCCTTTTGAAAAGACTGAAGATGAGCTCAGTTCCTGGCTTCACGGTCAGTGCTTTGTCCGACTGCCATTCCCCCTTCTCATGACCTTTCGTTAAACTCTGAGGTGAAGGAAACTTCATAGTTATTTCATCAGACATCAGATAGAATTCTACCATTAAGTTAAGAGAGAGAGGTTGGGACTGCCTCGCAGTGGTATTACAAATGGCCATACTGGTGATTTTGCATGTTTAAGCCCATTAAGTAGAAATTACATTTACCTTGCATCACAACCACTTTTCATAGTATAACAAGTATTTTTCTCCTTTCTACTGTGTAGTTGCTCAGATCCAAGTTGCACTTTCTCTCGTTTTTAATACAAAACTCAAATCACACTAGTCACATGGTCCATACAGGTATGTGCCAAAAAATTTGAATATCGAGGGAAAGTTCATTTATTTCAATAATTTGTTTCAAAAAGTGAAACTTGTATTTTATATTAGTTCACTACACACAAAGTGAAATATTTCAAGCCTTTATTTGTTTCAATTTTGATGATTATGGATTAAAGACAAAAAAAACCC